GTGTGTGTGTGTGTGTGCATACTTTGACCTCATTCGATTATGTATAAATTACATTGTGGTGTAGAGTATTAGTAGTAGCAGTAGTAGTTCACTACTTATGTTTAAAAAATATGAACAGTTGACAATTCAATGTGTGTTATGAGGATTTGATGATGGCTTCTGGTTTATTTATCAGTAATGTATTTAGATTATTCTAGATGAAGTAGTGCAACTTCATCAGTTAAGGTGGTTGGGACATGAGTTACGCATGCCTAACCAACGACTGCCTTATTGAGCTATGCTTTGCGATGTAGGGATAGGTTGGAATAAACCTATGGGTGGCCAAACTAAAAAATGGCAGATATCCATGAAGTCACTGACAACTGGACTGAGCTATGTTCGCAGGTGTCGGCTACCTGGTTGGGATCCGCGAGATGATAATAATCGATGGTTAGGGACCTTGAATGACACGGCTCAAAATCTTGGCAATTATGCAGGTGTATTCATTCTTTGTGTTCTTTCAAATTCTAATCTTCTGAATTCCTCATCACCTTCATCTTTCCCTTTTTAAATTTATATCACTGGATTATACTTCTTGAATAATATCGTCGAACCATGATCTTTCTGATCATAAATCGGATGTTTTTTTCTAGTTCTCAAGTATTGATTGAATTTCTTAAAATTAATTAGCCAATGAACATCAAGAAAATACACTGTATATCGAGTAACCTAAACTGTTGACTATATGACAGCTTGATCAGAGAGAATTCTAAGGACTAGACACGTGGGCTTATTCGGTTACAATTCAATGACAAATTAATGTCAACAGCTAGCACGAAATCTTGGTCGAGAGTTTTCTGTGTGTATAGTTTAGTTCTACTTTCATTGATAATATCACTATTTCAACATGGTTAGTGTCCAGTTTGCTAACTTACCTCATATTATATACTATCTGATGTGAATTATTGTTACATGAACTGACCTGATCAATGGATTTCAACCCTGTCGAGTGTAGGCAATAACTACCGATGACAATGGGTGATGTTGTGCCAAAATCTTTAGATTGATCTGTTGGGGATGTTAGACCCCCAAAACTCGCTTGTTAAATGCCTTATTCTCGATTTCACGTTTGCCAACATGGGCTGATCAGTTGACCTTGAGATTTCATTTCCCACCAGCGAAATCCATGGCTGTGATTGGCTGCTGTGTATTTTAGTGTGCTATTTTCGTAACTGTCCCAAGGGCGTTTCTATGATGCATAAATAAACGAGAGTTGTGTGCTTGATTGTATTTTGATTGCTGGGTGTTTGTAGAATATACTTTCTACGCTTACCAAGCCTTCTGTTTACAGCTTGGGATTCAAGGTAGCCTATCTGGACGCTGGTAATTGTCTCGTTCGCGTTTATCGACTAAGGTAAACTCGTAATAGCTTTAGACATACCTAGTGACGAACCCTACATGATCAAAGTTATTCATTAACACCGTTAGATGCTACTGGCTCAGTGGTCTAGAAGTTAGGCATTTTCTCGCGATCCCAAGGGTCCTGGATTCGAATCCTGCGAGGTGCAGGAATCGTGAATGCACACTGCCACTGATGAGTCCCAGGATGAAACGGCCGTCCAGTGCTTCCAGGTTTCTGTTGTTGGTCCATCAGTCAGTCATTCATGATATCAATATGTAAGAATTGATAAACATTAGTATACTAGATTTTATATTATTGATCTTACTACGGATCTGATAATTATTTTAAAAAACTACACTATTCCTCTTCTGTTTTTATAATACATACTATACATACTATTGTAGTGAAGAAGAACACAGGTGAGGACAACCAAATTGTATTTAACGAAAATTACAGAGTTACTCAGTAAAATAGGAAAACCATATCGTAAATTGTTCATTTGCAAAATATCAGTTCATCATATTATCGAACTGGACTGTTCCTGTTGCAAAACATCAACAATCCATTGTCACTCACTATTCATGCGTTTCATACAAATTCCATTGTGTTCTTCTAACTCTTCCTTTCTTGATCTTCCCCCATCTTCTGCTGCTGCCAGACATTACGTTGACACTCACGTCATATACTACTTATAAGTAGCTCACACCACACTATCATTGAATCATTCTTTGTTAATATTCACACAGGACTTGATTATTTCATTGATAGACAGTTAAAAAACAAAAGTATCCTTAATCAATAATCCAAATCAGTCAGTACAAAACAAATTGATTATCTTGTTAATGTTGTCGTTGTTGTTGTCTGTTTGTGTGTTTGTTTTTATTCTTACTGTTTAGACAAACTAACACAATCTAAATCAAAGAGGTTTTTTTTTTAAAAGTAATTTTCCCTTATTGACAATTAATCAGTTGACTGTGTAACATTTGTGTTTACTTTAGAGAAAAATACATCTACTACTACTACTACTACTACTACTACTACTACTACTACTACTAATAATAATAATAATAATAATAATAATAATAATAATGATAAGTTAGTATGTTAATAAAAGTATTACAATGAATTAGTTAGTAGTAAGTACTATTGTACAATGTCTCATACATGCACATTCATCAAGCTGTAATAACAATAATATTGCAAAGACATTACTTACTTACTTACGCCTGTTACCCCCAATGGAGCAGCATAGGCCGCCCACCAGTCTCCTCCAACCAACTCTGTCATGGGCTTCCGTTTCCAGTTCTGTCCAGTGTTTGTTCATTCCTCTCATACCTTTCTCTATTTCTCGGCGTAATGTATTCTTTGGCCTTCCTCTTTTCCTTTTGCCTTCAGGGTTCCATGTGAGGAGGGCTTGTCTTGTGGCGCAGTTAGGTGCTTTCCACAATGTGTATCCTATCCACTTCCACCTCTTATTCCTGATTTCCTCCTCCACTGGAATCTCGTTTGTTATCTTCCACAGTTCGTTGTTGCTGATGGTGTCTGGCCAACGAATACGAAGTATTTTGCGTAGACAACTGTTAATAAACACTTGCATCTTTTGGATGATGGCTTTCGTAGTTCTCCATGTTTCCACTCCATACAGTAGAACTGTCTTGACATTTGTATTGAAAATGCTGATTTTAGTTTTGGTTGAAAGTTGTTTGGAGTTCCAGATATTGCGAAGACATAGACACATTAATACTGACCGAATAACCGCTGTTTGTCAAATAATTTAATTGAAAAGCTTAACATAATAAAAGCTAGATAAACTCAATTGTTGAATCATATGCTACGTACGCCCAACCACCGACTGCCTTGACGAGCTATGTTTTGTGGTATAGGGGTCAGTTGGAAGAAAGTTAGGGGCGGCCAAATCAAAACATGGCACAAATCCATGAAGTCACTGACAATTGGATTGAGTCTTGTTGGTTGGTGTCCGCGAGATGATAGTAATCGATGGTTAGAGATCTTGAATGACATGGCTCAAAATCGTTTGCACTGGTGCAGATGCCTTCACTCTTTGTGTTCTGTGAAATTCTAATCTGAATTGCTCATCACCTCTGTCTTTCTGTTTCTAAATTTATTTCACTGAATTATACTTCTTGAATAATTCCTACGAATCCTAATCTTCTCCATTACCGGTAATACTTCTACTCTCTCTACCACTATAGGATTTGAACCGGCGATTGCATCTTTGCGCTAATGGGGTATGGTAAGCTGAAATGATTTACGTACGTACAAAGTTCTACTTTATAGCTGACTGACTGACTAACAAGTATTATACGGTCCGCTATTTTTTTTCTGAAATAATGAATGTTTATTATGATTAACAGGGAAAAAAAATTGTTTATTTTAGAGTCATTTCATGACTTTTCTATGTAATTTATCCTCGAACTCAGGTTTCATATGGTCGTAAAATGAAAAATTCGCCTTTGCAAAAAAAAAATCACTACCCTATTTGAGACAAAGAGTAATAAGGGTGTTTGAGTCTATTTACATCAAATTGGGCTGCATCTCTTGTTAACCTATGCTATAAGATGTATATTACCCATAAGCTATATCGTTGTATAAAGCGGAAGGTTTCCTATGAGACTACAGGTTCGTTGTGAACGTTATGTATGTGTTGGGATTAATTTGACAAGTTTTGTTAATAGTCCATATATAAATTTGGTTTACGAAGTGACCGATTTCATTGATACTAATGATGTTTGTCTTGTAATATTCCCTAGGGCCATTGTCATTGGGGTTTCTGTATTACATATCACCATTGCTAATAATAATGAGTTTGATAGTCATGTAAGCGAGCGGAATGAGTCAAATTAGCATATTCACGCTGTGCATATTGATTGACTCAATCATGGATCGGAAATAATCTCCCTCTCTCTCTCTCTCTCTCTCTCTAGATATATATATATATATATATATATATATATTGGTGTATATAAATGATGTGAATGGTCCACTAGGGTGTCAGGTACTTACCTGTGTGATTGCGCCACAGGATTGAGCCGTTCTGTTCACGTTGTGGGTGTGTTAACAACACGTGGGTAGTGTCTGATTCTCCTGAATAGTAATATAAAACTACCTTTACCAAAGGAGAGCGAATTTATATTGTGGCGCTCGTTACTTATAAGTAGTATATGACGTGAGTGTTAACGTAATGTCTGGTAGCAGAAGATGGGGGAAGATCAAGAAAGGAAGAGTTAGAAGAACACAATGGAATTTGTATGAAACGCATGAATAGTGACAATGGATTGTTGATGTTTTGCAACAGGAACAGTCCAGTTCGATAATATGATGAACTGATATTTTGCAAATGAACGATTTACGATATGGTTTTCCAATTTTGCTGAGTAACTCTGTAATTTTTGGTGAAATACAATTCGGTTGCCCCACCTGTGTTCTCGTTCACTACAATATAACTGTAATTTAATTTCATCCAATCGAAAATTAAATACAATCAATCATATTATTTACCGATTAGTTTTTGCAAAGGAAAAGAAACCGATCAAACAATTTTATAAATCAGTCTACTGTTTTCTATATACTAAAGATTTCTATTTCATCCCATGAATAGAATGCAGTGACGACCACCACCACCACCACCAGCGTCGTATCAACTACAAAATCTCGTACTACAACAATACAAACTAGAACAAGTATGAATGGTATGCAAAAGACTAATTCTCGTGGTGGATCATTTTCAGCTAAAACGTCTACAGTACGCACTTCCGCTGCTACTGCTACTGCTACTGCCGCCACCACTACTCCAAAAACCACTAGCAATAACACTACCACTCCATCTAGACGATCATCTAGTATAACACCAAACAAAAAGCCTCAAGTTAATGCGACAAAATTACTGGATAAACGAATAACTAGTAAACCTGATTCATTATTACGTACAGGACGTATTGATTCGAGAACAAATCTTACTTCGAATAGTACCACCAATGTTTCAAGAACTAATCTTACTACTGATCATTATTGTTCCAGAGGAAGATTGTCTTTGAATCAAACAAGCACGAAAGGTTAGTTAATTTTAACTGATACTTAATTTTCTTGTGTGTCTCTCTCTCTATCTTTCTCTTTCTCTCTCTTCATAATTTCGTATTAATTCAAAAAGGCTTTTGTTATATGTACGATGATATATGTTATTTTCATAACGAGTATAAACATATTTTTTAATGATCTATTGGACTATTTATTTAATATGTGGTAGATGTGGGTATTCGATATATATATTCCTAAACTTTGTATACTGCTCATCCTGATAACCGATACTAGATGACGACGCCCAACCAAACCACTCTTGATGGAGATGCCTTGGAGGACGTTAACACCGCCTTTACATATCTTGGCAGCATCATCGACAACCAAGGTGGATCGGATGCAGATGTCAGGGCGCGGATTGGCAAAGCAAGGGCTGCATTTCTACAGTTGAAAAATATCTGGAACTCCAAACAAATATCAATCAACACCGAGATCAGGATTTTCAATACAAATGTCAAGACAGTTCTGCTGTATGGAGCGGAAACATGGAGAACTACCAAAGCCATCATCCAGAAGATACAAGTGTTGATTAACAGTTGTCTACGCAAAATACTTCGGATTCGTTGGCCAGACACCATCAGCAACAACTTACTGTGGAAGAGAACAAACCAGATTCCAGTGGATGAGGAAATCAGGAAGAAGCGGTGGAAGTGGATAGGACACACATTGCGGAAAGCACCTAACTGCGCCACGAGACAAGCCCTCACATGGAACCCTCAAGGCGAAAGGAAAAGAGGTAGGCCAAAGAACACATTACACCGAGAAATAGAGAAAGATATGAGAGGAATAAACAAACATTGAGCAGAACTGGAAAGGGAAGCCCAGAACAGAGTTGGTTGGAGAAAACTGGTGGGCGGCCTATGCTGCTCCATCGGGGGTAACAGGAGTAAGTAAGTAAGTAAGTAACGGTGAATACAACTCAGAAGACGAATACAAAGCGTTGATGATGTTTATTATCGCAGCACATACAGATCACAAAACCACAGGCACACGAAGCGAAAATGATATGCCAGTGTCGAAGAGCAAATGAGCGAGCGAGTGAGTTAGTGAATAGGATTATAATGTACATACTCATATACATAAGGAAATAAATGAATCATTAGATTATTTAAGCGATTAACATTAAAGCGAGTAGAATGAATCTGCGGTAAGCATTGCTCAATCATACCTAACTCATACAAATATGATAATAATGAGAGTTCAATGATACAGATAAGTTATTGCTATACAAATGACTCAGTCTGTTAAATAAGTTAGTCAAAAGGGTTGAACCAAATTAGACGTGAACAAACTCAGATGTGTATGAGGTACTACATTATATCTCTGCTACGCCTGCGCGTAACACGTCAACTTGATATACTTGAACTATTACGAGTTTACCTGGTCGGAAAACGAGAGCGAGGATCAAGGATCCGGCGACACGACATGCCACTGAAATCTGATTATCCCAACCCCCATACTGAGTGAAAATAAGAAGACTTGATATGAAGTAGAACCTGTATTCTAAAAGCATTCAGAAAGTACGAGGTTCGAGTGCCAGAAAAGAATCAGGATCCCGGATTAGGGATCCGTGACCGGGTCCTGCTCCTGGTCATAAAACGTAACAGATAATGAGTATTTATACATTTTGGTCGAATAAGAAATAGCATCGAAGTCTGTGACATTGACAGTCAGGACAACCAATAAGAAACAACATTGAAGCACGTGACATCAATATCTAGGACGACAATAAAATTGACCAATAGAAATTAACCAATAGGAATTGACCAGTAATTCTCTTAGGATATTGGATGAATATCCTAACAATCTCTTAAAAAGAGATATAACCTACTAGACCTTTTTCTACACTTTATTCACTATTGATTTCTTATTTGTCAGTAATTTTTTCATCATTCTTATCATATTCATTTTGATGCTCCATCCCACCACTATACGGACATGAGACATGGCCACCAAAAAGCGAGGTTATTCGTAGGTTATTACTAGTAATCGGTTATAGATTCTCTTAGAAGCATTGTTCATCTATTCTGAGACTACAGAATAAGCAATGTTGTTGTTAGGAAAAGGGTACTAGGTAAGGATAGTAGATCAACTGGTGAAGCAGTGAGATGTTCATCAGTCGAAGTGGTTTGGACTTATGTTACGTATGCCTAACCGCCGACTACCTCGACGATCGATGTTGTCCGATGTACATACGTACCAAGTTCTATCTTGTAGCTGACTGACTATCCATTTTTATATTCATCTTTCACGATCTAATCTCTCTTTTGAAGATAATGTACTGGTAATGTTGACTAGATAAGAGACGAAAACTTCACAATTTAACCATGAAGCTCGAAGAATTCAACATACATACAGTAAAATTAGTATATGTTCACTAGAAACGATCACTAAATGTTCTTTATTTTACTACACCTATTACATTTTCATTTGTATTGTTTCTACCAGACTGTGACTTGTAATCTTTCAATTAGCCTATACTTAATTACTTAAGCCTGTTATCCCAAACAGAACATAGGCCACCAACCAATATTCCCTAGCCCACTCTATCCTGCCCAATTAACCTCTACTTACTTACTTACTTACGCGTGTTACCCCCAATGGAGCATAGGCCGCCCACCAGTAGAACCTTCGGGTCTACTGCCGGTCCCAAGCCCGGGTAAAGGTGGAGGGTTGGACATGGGGTTGTCGACCCCATTCCGTTAAAAACTAACTTCCCAAAAAAACGCTAACCAGAAAAAATAATTAACCTGTAACCTTTCATCAAAAGGCATACATATGATTTGGCAGCTTATTGTATGTAATAAACTTTGTATATTCACATTTTTCATACTTAGCTTAGTGTTTTAAAAAGTGAACTGTCTTTTTGGTTCATATACATGATATATATGTAGATAGTATCTGTCTAGTCGTACCAAATTCGTATAATCTATCTTCATTTCATAGTCAAGAAGTGTAAATTTTATTATGTAAAATCCTCAATATGTAAGTACTATGACAATAATAAGAGAAACAAGTAGTAGTTTGTTGTATACTCCTTACAACAAAGTTTATAAGTTAATAAACAGTGTATATACAGCAGAGAGTCGCTCTAAATTTACGAACGGATCAAGGAGTGTTGGATCCAGACGCGCATTGTACAATCAGAGTGTTTTGAAGAATAAAAAACATGTAGGAAGCCGACAGCCAAGAATACACTTGTTTTGCCAATCGATGTTTTATGATAAGCTGTACAGTTTTAAACTAGTAAATTATGTTTTCATATCAATGACTTGTCCAATCTCTGGTCTTCCGCCTTCGTTCATCACAGTAGTAGTGCATTTCATGAAATAATCAATAATTAAAACAAAACTAACATTAAAAGACTGTTACAATAAATACATTTACTAGTTTGTAATTTTTAAACAACGTATCAGTATTAAATCAATATTGTTTTTCTTTTTGCTTTCGACTTTTTATATTCCACTGTCTATTCATATATGAAAACAGTGAAGATACCATATATTGCTAAAGTCCTTCAGGAATTCCAAAAAGTAACCTTGAGAAAGTTAGGTCAATACCCCCTAGCCAATCAAAATTCAGATGAGACAGATAATGGATTAATTAATATGAAACCAACTAACTGATAAGAATTAGAATTAAGTGGTTATAACTAAAACATCACGTTGACAGAAGAATAAAATAAAGCTTATTTATTTAAGTAGTGAGTTCTTGGGCGGTAAAATTCAAAATCCATTAATTAACAGTTTCACGTTTGCATTAAGGGGTTGTGAAGATTGTTAAGTTACACATTTTTGAAACCATGAATCGATCAATAATAGACCACCATTAGAAACCTTGAAGCACTGGACGGCCGTTTCGTCCTGGTATGGGACTCCTCAGTAGCAGTGAGCATCCACGACTCCTGCACCCCGCGGGATTCGAACCCAGGACCTTCGGTATTGTGCTCGAACGCCTAACCTTCGGACCACTGACCCGGTATCTAACGTGACCAGTGAAGTTTAACCTGTTCGGGTGTAGACAGTAACCACTACCGAAGACTGTGTATGAGGTTGCGCAACTCCGTGAATTGATTAAGTAAGATATTAACACCGTTAAATACCGGCTCAATTTCATGTTTATCAATTTGAAACATTCTATTTGACTTATATCTAGACAAGTAGTAGATAATTTTTAGTAGAATACAATTAGTCGACCAAGTATATACATGACAGATTCAATGTTCAATAAGTATGTTACACTACACAACACTTTTTGTCATTTTTTTCTATTTATTTTGTGTGTTGTATTTCACAGTGTCATTTTCACTGCAAAGATTTCAATTGAAACATTGAAAATTATACGTACGCTGCAACATACTGTGAATATGTCAATAATATAAAGCAATTCAGCATTGTCTAATTAAAGACTAATGTATAACAATAATTAGGGCCTAAAATAAAAATCTTGAATGAAATTTGCACATTATTGTACTTATTGTACACATTGAACAGATGTTTAAATGTACATAACTATTGGATACAACCAATTTATTGAATATTGAATATGTTGAGGATAACTTTAGTCAAGCTATCCGTCATCATTGAGTCGTAAATTTCGAATAAAACTCCAACAACTGCTATCTTAAATTTAATTAACTCATTAGCAAGTTATATCTTTATGAAACGTTTACATATCATATTTCATGATAAAATTATTCATCATTATGGGGTTAAGAAAATTGTTGAATTTCATTGAAATCATGAATCGATCAATATTGGAAATTATAATGCGCGCTCATTAGTGACTAGTTTCATGAGGGGATTCTCGGCATTCTTAATGAGGAACCTTAATAAATGTAATTCAACTGTATTGGGTGTGAGACAGTTTTGTAACTCTTACTTAAATAATTCCCAGCTAATTCCTATTGCTTAGTATTCTCCGATCACACATTACACTGGACAAGTTCCAAAGAATCAAAAACACAGTGGAACAGGAAAAGATATTATTCCAACTAGCAAGGTTAATGGAAATACGAAGGCGAAGGCAAAAATAGATACAACGTTAGTTTCTTTATAGTATTTACATGAGAAGCCTCTGGATAGTAATTCACGTGATCGACTGGATTAGATTTAGCCAATTAAAGTGCAGCTAACAACACGAGAATTTTCTACCCTGTTCTCCAAGAATCGATCAGTCGCTGATTGGATAGGAAATTAGCCAATCAGCGCGCATCAACGCAGTCATGCTTTAATTCCATCTATGTCCCACTAACAGACAATTACACACTAAAGACCAAGGATATTGATTATAAAATATCATGGATTGACTAAGGTTAGACATTAACACTGTTGGACGCCGGCTCAGTGGTCTAGATGTTAGTCGTTCACGCTCGAAACCGATGGTCCCAAGGTGGATTTTTGCGTGTGGACATCACACTGCCACTGAGAAGTTCTAAACTAGAATGAAACAACCATCCAATATTTCCATATTTATAATGTTGATCTCATATTGATCGATTCATGATTTCAATGAGAATTATTTATAATTGAATTTAAGTCTCCATAATAACTTTGTAACACATTGTTGTAAAATATTTTGTAATTGTTTGTTAGTTAACTATCACACTACACTTATTTTGTAAATATTTTGATATAAAAAAAGTACATTTGATACATTGATGAACTGAAAATGTATGAAATTGTTAATGATAGTAATTTATGACGTAATAAATTTCTTAATTTATGAGTTGAAATCTCGTTAAGTACATAAATCTGAGTCATTTTTGTAATTAGAATGTAAGTAGAATAAATAAGATGTGGCTAACTATAAAATGTCGGACGAGCGTTTCGTCCTATTCAGGACATTTTAGCTGGATGTCTCTGCATCCAGAGTGGCAATCTGAACTTTTAGTAGCTCAGTGGATAATGCAGTGGCTTTTTGAAGTCAACGGCGCTGGGTTCGAGTCCCGGAGTGAACATCAACTTTAAGATGTAGAAACATACAGTCCTAAATAGAAAGAAACGCGTGTCTTGGATTTTAGTGCTAGCCATGTTGGCTTTCTTGTAGCAACCTGCATAGGATGCTGATCAAGGTTGACTAAAGTTTTCAAAATATTAACAACGAGATAATCCAAATCAAAGTCTTTGTCTTTTGGATTTTGGTATATTTCTTCCTGACATTCGACATGGTTGAACTCCAATGTTCATGGCTTATCACTAGAAATCTGTAAATTCCATCTTGAAGCTAGTCACTAATGCGCACCACCCTAAGCAACAATGCAAGCATGTTCGGGATGCGGTTCTCCCCGTCGAAATGCAAAATGTTGCCTCAGGATTATGTTGCATCGACACCTGAACTAGTGATAGGGAGTGAATTAGTCGAGCGTGTAGACCGCTTCACTTATCTGGGAAGTCTCAACGGTGCTGATGGCCTGGTGACTGACGGATCTCATCTCGGATACAGAAGGCTCGATTGGCTTTTGCCAACCTGCGTCACCTATGGTGCAGGCGAGATATCCGCTTGCTAACCAAAGGACGAGTGCACTGTGCAGCAGTTCGCTCCTTCCTACTGTACGAATGCGAAACATGGCCGTTAAGAGTAGAGGACTTTCTTAGGTTACTACTCTTCGATCATCGATGTCTCCGAAGTATTGCTCGTGTATACTGAGACAACCGTATAAGCAATGCTCTAGTCAGGAAACGACTACTAGGTAGGGATGGCAAATCAATAGATGAAGTAGTGGTTATTCATCAGTTGAGGTGGTTGGGACATGTGTTACGAATGGCTAACCAACGACTGCCTCGACGAGCTATGTTTTGCAGTGTAGGAGTAGGTTGGAAGAAAGCTAAGGGCGGCCAAACCAAAACATGGCACAAATCCATGAAGTCACGGACAAGTGAACTGAGTCATGCTGATAGATGTAGGCTTCGTGGTTGGGGTCAGCGAGACGAAAGTCACCAGTGGTTAGAGACCTTGAATGACATAGCTCAAAATCGTTTACGATGTCGCAGGTGCATCCACTCTTTTTGTTCTCTTAAATCCTAATCTTCTGAATTCGTCAACACCTCTACCTTTGTATTTCTAAACTTATCTCACTGAGTTATACTTCATGAATATTATCTTCAAATCCTAATCTTCTCCATTTTCAGTAATACTTCTATTATCTCTACCACTATGGGATTTGAATCGACAATTGCGTCTCTATGCTAATATGGGATGGCAACCTGAACTGATGTACTTATGTTCGAAGTTCTGAGTTGTATCTGTCTGTCTGTCTGACACGTTAATTATCAGTGTTAGGTTGTTGAAATCTTTGAATATCATTAAGGTCATAAACCGAACTAAGTTAGACAGCCATTGAAAATCTGGAAGCCCTGGACGCCATCAAAGTCATTCTTCTGAGCTGCGAATATTCGCAATTATCTCTACATACTGTTTTCACTACTACTGTAATCCCGCTTAACATTCTGTTATTCATTCTATTGCACAGAGTGCTTGAATGTGAATGAGTCTGTCACTAGAATTTGACATCAGGCGAAGAATCGGTTTTAAAACGGTTAGCATTTAACAAGTGTTTTCATTCTAATTTAAGATTTCTAAGCAGCGGTATGTACTTATGTTACTTACAAATATCGAATTCACGACTTGCATTCTCACGATGAGAACCATACTTTTATACCATGGATAGTTTGGAAACTAGTGAAACAATGCAAACGGCATTAATTATTTTCAGTGACATATTCTCCCTCTCTCACTGGTCACAACTTTCGATCCTGATTTCTTTATTTAATTCATCTCAATGACTGGTACACAAGACGTTAGAGAAATAATAAGTAGACTTTACCACTAAACTGTTTAATTCAAAGCCCATTATTATTGAAGAGGAATCCTGTAAATTAGTTCGACATTTGTAGTCTTGCCTTTTATTTTCATCCAAACTGATCAGTCAGAAACGGTCGTGGAACACCCGAGTAAGCAATGCTGCCATTAGGAAGTGAGTACTAGGTAAGGATAGAAGATCAATTGATGAAGTATTGAAACTTCATCAGTTAAGGGTGGTTAGGACATGTGCTGCGTATGCTTAACCACCGACTGCCTCGACGAGCTATGTTTTGTAGTGTAGGAATAGGTTGGAAGAAAGCTAGGGGCGGCCAGACCAAAACATGGCAGAAATTCATGAAGTCACTGACAAGTGGACTGAGTCATGTTGGTAAATGTAGACTACCTGGTTGGTGTCCGCGAGATGAAAGTCACCAATGGTTAGAGGCCGTGAATGACATGGCTCAAAATTGTTTGCAATGGCGTAGGTGCGTCCACTCTTTGTGTTCTCTCAAATCCTAATCTTCTGAATTCGTCAACACCTCTACCTTTGTCTTTTTAAACTTATCTCACTGAATTATACTTCATGAATATTATTTTCAAATCCTAATCTTCTCCATTTGCAGTAATTCTTCTACTATCTCTACCCCTATAGGATTTGAATCGACAATTAAATTTCTGTGCTAATGTGGTATGACAACCTGAAGTGATGTACTTAGGCACGAAGTTCTACGTTCTACTTGACTGACTGAAGCGTATAATGTCAGTCCGTCAGTTACGTACGTGTTCATAAGTTCAAGTTGCCGTACCACATCAGCATAAAGACGTAATTGTCAATTCAAATCCCATAATGGTAGAGATAATAGAAGTATTAGCGTTTATGGAGAAGATTACGGTTCGAAGAAATTATTCCAGAAGTATAATCAAGTGAAGTGAATTTAAAAAGCGGAAGAGGAATTCAAAAGACTAGAATTTGAGTGAAGATAAAGAATGCATACTGACGCAAGCCAATTCTGAAGAAACATTTTGCACTATGGGGGTGTGGGTGAAGAACCGTATCCCAAACATACTCGTATTGTTGCTTAGACTAAAAGCGTATGATGTAGTGTGAAAAGAAGGTAACAGACTTTTTCTTATTGACTATAATTGAAAAGCATGACACTATGCTCCGTTTCAGGTTTCATACTTCCTTTGATTTCTTGCAATCAAAATTTTTTTCATTCAATAGAAATTCAATTATTTTCGTTTCATGTATAAATATGTCATGATAATTATACATTTCATTGTAAACTATTTTAAGAATCTATCCAATCAAATAGAACAAATGTTCGACCTCCATTTTCAGTTGGTGGACGTCGAATATCTGCTGGTGCTGCATCATTAACAAGTCAACGTACAGCACCTAGTCAATTGAATCCATCGAAAGTTTCATCAACAACACGTGGTTCAATGCAACTGCCAACAGATTCACGCGCGACTAATCTACGCGGTGCGTTGTCTGCAACTAGACAAAGTAAATATTTTCTTTGCGTTCTTTCTTAATTTCTTCAATTTATCCTGCTTTATGTGCTGTGATTGGAGAAAGAAAGTGCGAAATTGTTAAAATTAAAATCCGTAGATCAATCAGAGTTAGACATTAACACCGTTGGATGCGGGCCCAGTGGTCCGACGGTTAGGCGTTCGCGCACAATACCGAAGGTCACGGGTTCTAATCCTGCGAGGTTCAGTAGTCGTGGATGCGCACTGTTGGGTCACGGGTTCTAATCCTGCGAGGTTCAGTAGTCGTGGATGCGCACTGCCAATGATGAGTGCCATACCAGGACGAAACGGCCGTCTAGTGCTTGCAGATTTCTAATTGTGGTCTAACAATCACTGATTGATTGATGATTTCAAATGTTTCAAAACACAAACGTCCAAAACTCTGCCGAAAATTTATTTATTTAAAATGTAGTCTCCATTTTTTGAAACAAAAAGGGTTAACATTAACTTGTAACAAGGTTTTTTAAACTAGTCTAATTGGTCATTTAAAATAGTTTCATGTAGTGGCTTCCAACTTATGCCTTAAACAATAATTTTATTTTAATATCTTGGTTAACCGACAAGCCTGCTGCACATGCGCATTGCTGCTGTTTAGGCAACACAAGGACTTTCACTTTTAGTGGTCATCCCTGCCCCAATCGGGAACATACATGTTGTCCAGTTTGGTCTGCAAGCAGGTCGGACGTCCAAACAGCACGCACACGAACAGTGGCCCCCGTTCGGGCACTTATGAATCAACGAGATCCCTCCACCAATCCACTACCCAAAATCCCCAGTCGGCAAGGCGGGCTTACCCAGCCGAACCTGGCACCCTGAACGGATTACCGAGCCACTCAGCAGTGCACTAACCAGCAGCCGTTCCAACCGTCTGGCTTCCAACTGCCTTGCGCTGTTACAATCGACCGGAGCCCTCAGACCCCATATGAAGCTAAAGATCGAGTTTGTCCCACAAGGTCAGCCGGAACGTTCCAGCCGATCAGTCAGACATAACATACGTATATCAATTCAGGTTGCCGTACCATATTATCACACAGAGATCGAATCGTCAATTATAATCACATGGTAGTAGATGTAGTAGAAGTATTAGAGTTAATCAAAAGGATTAATGATCGAAGATATCATTCGAGAAGTCTATTCCAGAAGAATCAGTTTGAAGAAAAAGAGAGGGAAAAATGGTTCTGAGCAATTCAGAAGATTAGAATTCGGGATAAGACAAAGAATGGATGCATCTATGTTATTGCAAACAACTTTGAACCATTCTATTCAAGTTCTCTTTTTACCGGTTACCAACATCTTGCAGACGTCCTACCAGATAGTCTACACCTACCAACATGGTCCAGTCCATTTGTCAGTGACTTCGTGGAATTTCGCAATATAGTGTTGGTCTTCCCTACCCTTCTAACCTACCCTACACCAGGCATCTTCGCTTGGTGAGGTAGCCGGTGGTTGGACGATGTAACACATGTCCCAACCACCTCAACTGATGAAGTTTCACTACTTCATCTATTAATCTGCCTTCCTTACCTATTACCTTTTCGAACAACAACATTGCTTATTAATATTATCAGGGATCAGCATGTGGCATCAATTCATGAAATCACTGATAAATTGTCATACCACATTCGTACAGCGATGCAGTTGTCATTTCAAATCCCATAGTGGTACGGTTAATAGTAGTATAAGCAGTAATCGCTAAGATATTTTTCAAGGAGTATAATCGAGTGAAAAATATCAAATTGTTAACTGTGCTTCTATTCCATACTAGGAAAAATGATTTTGAAGAAAATCTAACTTTTCTCAAATGAATTTCATGTCAACCGGAGAATTGTTTACTGAAGGCATTTTTTCCAAAGACAGATGACCTTCAGTAGTTCCAATATTCATGTTTGATGGTTTCAATAACAAAAATAAACCTACACAGTATAAAACAGATAATTTTTTTGGGAACTCTCAGGTGGCATTTTAAGGGAATTCACATACTACTCACAAGGTGGCCTATAAGTAGTGTTCAGTGGGGCATCGATCAGATTTTGTTACCACAGAGAGAGAGAGAGAGAGAGACGAGTGTCTGGAAATCGAAATACATGGCTTAATTGGATTATCGATGGTTAGAGACCCTGAATGACACGGCTCGAAACCGTTTGCAGTGGCACAGGTGCTTTCATTCTTTGTGTTCTCTCAAATCCTAACCCTCTGGATTCTTCATCACATTTATCTCTCTCTTTTTTAAGTTTATTTCACTAGATTCTACTTCTGAAATAATATCCTTGAACCTTAATCTCTCCATTTACTGCGAATGTAGTGAACGAGAACACAGGTGGGGCAACCGAATTGTATTTAACGAAAATTACAGAGTTACTCAGTAAAATTGGAAAACCATATCGTAAATCGTTCATTTGCAAAATATCAGTTCATCATATTATCGAACTGGACTGTTCCTGTTGCAAAACATCAATCCATTGTCACTATTCATGCGTTTCATACAAATTTTGATTGTGTTCTAACTCTTCCTTTCTTGATCTTCCCCCATCTTCTTCTGCCAGACATTACGTTGACACTCACGTCATATACTACTTATAAGTAGCTCGCACCACACTAATACTTCTACTGTATCTCTACTACTATGGGATTTGAATTGACAATTCGATCTCTATGTGCTAATGTGGTATGGCAATTTGAACTGATGTACGTACGTACGTACGTACGAAGTCCTACTTTGTAAATGATTGATTCATTGATCAGATTACATTGTTAAAAGTAGAACAGAATGTACAAGAAGATAGTCAACATTCTGTTTGTATTCTGTTTTTTTCTCCAACTACTCATGGTCAATCTCTATTCTCATGACCTCTTCTCATGTTACAATAGAAAAGCAGATTTATTTTTCTATACACTGCAATTCACTAATGATCGATTTGTATTCAGTTCAATTCTCATCTATTCATATTATTGTCATTCTATTTTTTTTCAGCAATATCTGCACAACGTCGTGGTGGTAGTATCACTACTAACAATCGCGGTTTTATGACACCAACAACAAGTTCCGATGCAAAACAAGTTAAAACAAAACAATCGTCTAATCATTCCATATCAAATGACAACACTCGTCGATCTTATCAATCACCATTAGGGAATAGTATTAAAAAACCAATAACTAGTACATTTTCACGTTATTATAAAACTAATACTAGGCAAGATCATACAACACCACTGCCTATGAATCGTAACTTATCCAATCATCCCCCTATAGATAATAAATCGCCATTATCCTCTTCATTCCTATCAGCATCACCATCACCTTCAGCATCTCCATCACGTATTTCTGATCAAACAGCCTCTCTATTGGCTACTATTCAATCATATGATGATCCAAAAGCTTATTTATTCTATCGAATGTTTCAAGGTGTTGAACAATTGAAAACAGCAACAATGACGACTACTACTACTATTAATACTACTAATACTAATATGACCACGACCACTACTACAACTGATAGTATATTTCAAGCATTCGGTTTACCATCCTCTTCATCTTCAATGTTATCATTAGATTGTCAAAAACATTATTCATCAGAATTTTCTAAAATCAATGAACAACGACAACATCGACAACTGGCACAACCATACCCGGATCAATTTTTATGTGATACTTTTGAAATGGATGAACAATTAGCAAATTTACAAGCGAATAACATGTTGGCGAATACATTTATGGAACAACCACAGCAGCAACAAGTACCACAACAACCACCATCTGTATCGCCATCAACTCAAATCACTTTGAATAGACAAAATAAAGTGAGTGGTCGTTTTGTGTTTCATGATCTAAATGAGAAACTACATATATAGAGGTGGCCAGTGTGTCTCATTCAGTCAATGAGTTACAATATAGAACTTTGTACGTTAAGTACATCAGTTCAGGTTGCCATACTATATTAGCACATACAGAGATGCAACTGTCAGTTCAAACAAATCTCATATTAATAGAATTACTGGAAGTGTTAGCGTTTATGGAGAAGGTAAGGGTTCGAAGATGTTATTGAAGAAGTTTAGAAGATAAGTTTAGAAAGACAAAGGTAGAGGCGTTGACGAATTCAAAAGATTAGGATGTACCTGTACTATTGCAAACGATTTTGATCCATGTCGTTCAAGGTCTCTAACCATTGGTGACTTTCGTCTCGCCGGACTCCAACCAGGTAGCCTACATCGACCAAGATAACTCAGTCCATTTTGTCAGTGACTTCATGGATTTCTGCCATGTTTTTGGTCTGGCCGCCCCTAACTTTCTTCCAGCCTAAACCTACACCACAAAACATAGATAGTCGAGGCAGTCGGTGGTTGTGCATCCGTAACAAATGTCTCAACTACCTCAATTGATAAAGATTCAATACTTCATCTTTTGACCTGCCATCCTTACCTAGTACTCGTTTCCTAATTGTTAGAGATATTAGATCCTCGGAACTCGCTTGATAAATCTCTTTGTCTTGGATTTATTTCATGGACTTTGAGACCACATTTCGCACCAGGAAAATCCTTGGCTGGGGTTGGTTACTGTGTAATTTGTGTGTGCTATTTTTGTGACTGCCCCAAGGACGTCTCTATAGAGTATAAATAAACGCAATTTGAGTGCTTGGATTGATTGTGTGCTGGCTGGGTGTTTGTAGAATACAATTTCTACACTATATCAAGACTTCTTGCTGATTCATTTTGGTCAAGGGATCACAGTAGCCCACCTGAACACTGGTTGATTGTTTTGTTCTCGTTTATCGACTAAGGTGAACTCGTAATAGTTTAAGCATACATAGAGTCGAGCATAACACTAATCGAAGCATTGCTTACTGGGTTGTCACAGGATACACGAGCAATGCTTCTAAGACATATATGATCGAATACTAGTAACCTACGAATATCTTCTACTCTTACTGGCCATGTTTCGCATGCATATAGGAGAACGGAGCAAACTGCTACACAATGTCTCACTAGTTTTATGACGGTGTTCTTAGACTTTGGAGTTTGCTCGTTCAGACCAATCGTTACTAAATAGCGCCCCACGGTTTATAAATCAAAAAGGGGACTACGTAAAGTGTTGAATATGTTTATTTTGGCACGACACAAATAGACTAGCAAACCACAGGCACACGGAGCGAAGTGGGAGCATGCTAGCAAGTGAGCGAGTTGGCGAATGAATTAATAAGATATATACATAGTAAAATGGCTGAATCATCGAAATATCTAAGAGGCTAACACATAAATACGAATGGGATGAATATTCGCAGTATGCAATAAGCAATGTTCAGTCGTACCAGTTCATATACAAACCAGTCAATAGTAAAAGCCAATGCTACATATAAGTTGTTGCTATACAAGTAGCTTGATTAAGTAAGTTGATCAAAAGGCTTAACCAAAAATAAATATGAGCGAACTCAAATGTATGTTAAGGCACTACAACTATATTGTTATGATGATGTACAGTGTCCTTGATAGCAGCAGCTGAATGTCAATGTTTGCTAGCTAACCCCCCTTCACCAAAAACTAGTTATTTGAGTGAAAAGGCTAAACAACTGGCACAGAAAGTTTATTTGACTTGCGTAATTATAAGTACAAATACTCGTTTATATGCATAAATGTGTATATTCCTTCCTCGGAGAAATGGAAGCCATTTCTAAAACAATGAAAACGTATTTGTATTCTACGATATTTTCTTTCTGATGTTCATCGAATGGCCTTGACATTTGGCCACTTTTGATTGGCTTACTAGATCATATGCTTCTTCAGACTTTTGAAAAATACCGAGTGAAACGAATAGTTTTTGTTATAAAGAGACAGTCAAAAGTTGCTGAACACATAGGTTACTTGATGACAATCAGAAATCTCTTGATGAAGGAATATATATCATTGGTCAAGAAATAGATTAATTTTCTAAGCGCAAGGAATAGATTCTCGCTTAAGTAGACAGTTAAGAGCAGGGATTAACATGTATTGACGTTCAGATTTCAAACTTCGCCCATCATATTGAGAACGTCTGTATGTTCAAAATATATAAATTCTTTAGTAACTAATGTTACCTAAGAAACTCATAAAAATATTGATAGCATACTAGTTTTTAGTGTTTAATTCTAAATTTTTTTGAAGAATGATAAACTCTTCGGCAGTAGTCTATGCTAATAACCACATAAGTGTCTTTGAAGCGTTGCTCGTGTATTTTCGAACCGCTGAGTAAGCAATGCCGAGGTTAGGAACAGGGTGCAAGATGAAGAGGACGTGAAAACCTACACATATCTGGGTAGCATCATTGACGAGCAAAGCGGATCTGTTGGAGATTTGAAGGCACGGATCGACAAAGCAAGGGCTGCACTTTTACAGTTGAACACCATCTGAAACTCAAAACAACTATCCACAAACACGAAAGTCACAATTTTCAATACAAACGTCAAAATGATTCTACTTTGTGGGGTGGAAACTTTGAAAACGACCAATGCAATCATTCAGAAGATACAAGTGTTTATTAACAGTTGTCTTCACAAGATACTTCGGATCCATTTACCAGACACCATTAGCAACAACCTACTGTGGAAGAGAAGAAACCAGATTCCAGCAGAGGAAGGAATAAGAAGGAGTGCTATAAGTGAATAGGATACACATTGTGGAAAGCACTCAACTGCGTCACAAGACTAGCCCTCACTTGGGACTGTTAGTGTTTAAGGTAAGGAGGAAGTAAAAGGAAAACATAACGCCGATAAATGAAGACAGACATGAGAAGAATGACCAAAAATTGAACAGAACTGGAAAGGTAAGCTCATGGCAGCGTAGGTTGAAGAATACTGGTCGGTGGCCATGCTCCATTGTGGGTATATAAGTAAGTAAGCGAGATGAGGTTAGCTATTCGACCGAGGAAATAGTGAATCCTTATCAACTAAAGTGATTGGTACACGTGTTACGTATGCCCTAACACAGAGCGATGTTGTCTAGTCTAGAAGAAATTTAAAGTTGGACAAAATTGAATCAATCCATGAAGTTATTGACAATTAGGCTGAGACCTGTGAATCGGTGTAAACTACCTGATTGGGTTGCACTTGGGAATCGTAACCAATAGTGTGAGACTTTGAATGAAATAATGCAAGTGAGTCCATTCCGCCCAAATCCCAAATTTCTAAATTCATCACAATAATGACAATTTCAACTATTGTAGTCGACAGCTACCGTCATGACTCGGTCCACTTGTCAGTGACTTCATGATTTGGCCTACCATAGCTTTTGTCCAACCTACTCCTACACCATAAAACATAGCTCGGTGAGACATAATAATATTTAGACATAATAAATACATTTTAGTCTGTATTATCTAGTTTCTATTGATTTTATCCTGTTTAATCCCTATTTCCATCACCATGTAGGCTACATTTAAGAATTTATTTTTTTTTTGTATAAATTAAATAGCCTGTCACTACTTCATTTTTACACGGTTAATAGAAAAACATCGTTTCCTTTTAAATGAATCAATTCTAAATGACTTCCAACTTAAACTTTTTTTGTCAGAAGTAGTTTATAGCGGTGGAGAAAACTTGTAGCTCAGGTGGATGATTGTGGTGGTGTTTCGTTCTCTGACCTGGTTGTTTTGGTTGTGGGGCTTTCGTTGTTCTTCTGAACAACATCATCAGCACAAACTTCAGATAGAAGAAGCGAAGCATTCGAGTTTCTCCATGTTTGACCTGTAGCTTGTCTGCTAACCTCGATCTTGATTGGTTGCTGTTGTCTTTTGACCTGTCGTTGTTTGCAACTTTGTTTTGATTGCACCCCCTTTTTGATCTGTTTCTTGATCCTATGATTTTTCTGATTGGTTGATAGATTGAGTGGTATCTTTTCATATGTATGTTTAAACTATTCCTACCTTGAATGGATTAATAGTTAGGAGAAGTAATAAAATATCTGTACATAGGTTTGTTAAGAGTAACGAGTGCTGTTGATATTATGTGATAAGCTGTGCTAGACATCCCTCCGTCCTGGATCTCACTGTTAGTCACATTCTATCTATTCTATATAAACTTATGTCATAGTGGGCTTTATATCGAGGCAGTCCGCATAAGATACCTATATGCCAACCAAGAGTGGTCAGATTTCAATCTGTTAGTGGGACATAGATTGGATTAAAGCATGATTGCATCGTTGCACGCTGATTCGCCCTTTCGTATCCAATCATCGCTAGCCGATACTGAGAGAACATTCTTGAATCTTATCATGTATAAAAACCATAAGTATACTTCCATGTAACCTTGTTATTGGAATACAATCTCTTTTTCCTGTTCAACTGTGTCCTGATTTTGAGAGAACGTCTCGATTGAATTGGTGTCCGAGAATACTAAGCATTAGTAGGAATAACTGGGTTGTAATATAAGTAGAGAATTATATCACAATCTAAACACTGACAATGAGATAATGTAAATCATTTCAAATCGAATCCGAATCTCATACCCATTGCATAAGTGAGATGCTACTTGAACTCAAGTAGGACATTTAGAGTCAAAGGTACTTGGTTCGAGTCTCGTAGTGGACGAGTACACCTAGCTGATGATTCCAAGATAAACAGATACACACATCATGTATTATTATCTTTTATTCTTTTTACAGTATACTAAAGTACATCTGTCAGCGGATGAAGAATCACATTATCAAGAACTTCCATCTTATCGTTCTAATATAACAACCATTTCTCCATCAAATCATAAAACCTTATCAACAAAATCTCCAGCCTATTCTAACAATGATGAAATTCAGTTAAATCAAACACAAACTATTGAACAATCTTCAACGAAATCATCACATCATAAAATTCCTTGTACAACAACAACGACACTTGAAGCTAATGATCCGACAATCGACGCAACAATGAAATCGATGAATTTATCTATGTTCGTCAGTACTTCTATTACTAGTCTAGCACCAAGTCAAACTGGAACATATGTAATCGAAGGAGGTCATGATGGTACTGACAACGACAATGATGACGATGATGATGTTGATGATGGCAATGACGAGATTCATCATAAAAATACAAAACACCAACAAATCTTACAACATTCTGATAAGCCGAATATGAATTTATCTAAAGATAATGATTTCTCATCAACAACACCTCGTGCAAGTCCTGTCATAACAGATGTTGCTATGACAACAACAGAAGAAGATAAATTATTCAATCAGCAACAACAATCTGTGAAACATATGTCAACAACTTATCAACAAACCAAACAATCAACACAGTATACAAAAGGTTTTGAGGTAGGCGAAAATTTTTTTGGTTTTGTTTTGTTTTCGGGTGTAGGCAGTGTCTACCGAAGACTGTGTATGAGGTTGCGCAACTCCGTGAATTTGATCAAGTTGGACATTAACACCGTTGGATACCGGCTCAGTGGTCTAACGGTTAGGGCGTTCGCGCACAATACCGAAGGTCCTGGATTCGAATCCTGCGGGCTGCAGCAGTCGTGGATGTGCACTGCTGAGGAGTCCCATAGCAGGACGAAACGGCCGTCTTTCAGTGCTTCCAGGTTTCTAATGGTGGTCTAACATTGATCGATTCATGGTTTCAAAAATGAATACGTATTTCATTGTAATACATTCATTGTTGTTATGCTTGAACTAACCACAAGTTCACCTTAGTCGGAAAACGAGAGCGAAGATCCGGCGACACGACAGGCTACTCTAATCCGAGTGTCCCGAACCCCCATTAAGTAGAAGAAGAAGTCTTGATACAAAGTAGAACATGTATTCTACAAGCATCCAGGAGAGTACGAGGTCCGAGTCCAGAAGAGGATAAGGATCC